GTGTGACTTACTCGTAAGTGTTCATAGGGTTATGGACCTTAGAAAGCTTTGAAGGAGACAGTTTGTAATCTGCAATGCTAGCGGATTTCTGAGGGTGGAAAATGGATCTTAAATAAAAAAAAGGGGGTGTCAATGTGTGGAGAGGGGACATCAATTATCATGATGCTTCTTCAGTTTCCTTCCATCTCTCTGCCGTGTCTTAAGTAGATGGACAAAGAACCAAAAACCAAACCAAAAAAAAAAAAAAAAAAAACAGCCTTGTCCAATGAACAATGCACAGCAGGAGGATGGAGAGCCAAAAATAAACTTTGCTGTTCCCCCTCAATCTTGCATAAGATGCTTGTATGCCTTAGAGTTTGGAGGCTTATAATCATCAAGTTTGCAGTCTGTAGGACTACATGTTAATAAATATGCTTGGCTTTGCAATCTTAGAGAAAATTACTTGGCGATTCGGAATAATGAAAATCTTAACTGAAGTAGAATTTTTAGTTCTTAGTTCTCTTTCCTCATGTAGTTCTTTTATATTGCAAATTTAGACTATATAGATTTCTTAATATTTGCACTAGAGAATGTGGGAAATTCTGGCATGTGTTTATATATTATTTCACTTCTGTAGTGGCCCATAGCCCATAGGCTCTCTGGGCAGTTTATAAATTTAAAAGACTTGAGTAAAATAATCATATTTAAATAAAGCAATAAACAATAACACCAATACAACCAGATCAACAAATTTTTATCCTGCCTTTTTTCTTTTTCATTTTTAAGAACTCATAGTGGCTTACATCATTCTTCTCTTGCTGCTTGCACTCTTATCACCACAAAAACAACTCTGTGAGGTAGGTTAGGTTGAGGAGTGACTTTGTGAGTGACCTAAAGTCACCCAGTTGGCACCACAGGTCAGCAGGGACTAGGACCTAGAATGCCTGAGTCCCACACCTGCATTCTTGACCACCACACCACAGTGGCTCTCTAAATAATGTGTGCGTTATTTGCCCTGTCCTTTTGAAATTAACATATAAAACTGACTTAATAATAATAATAATAAGTCAGACTTGTTACATACTTGAAGTTATCACCAATTTATCATGACCCTGTGAATGGATGCCCCCCATAATGACCTTTCCTTGATAGGCCTGCTAAGTTTCTGTCAATCCAAGGTTATGTGCTTCCTTTATGGAATGGATTCATCTCATAGTTGGTCTTTCTCTTCTGCTTTCAATTTGCCTAGCATTTGTGTCTTCAGTGAGTTATTTTCATGATGTGCTTGAAGTATGACAGCCTCCATTTTACCATTTTTGCTTCCAGGGAAAGGTCAGGCTTGATTTCGTTTAGGATCTACTTGTTTGTCTTTTCTTGGACCAGGTATTTGCAAAGCTCTCCAGCACCATGTTTTGAATGCATCAGTTTTCTTGCTGTCACATTTCTTCACCATCCAAGCTTTCATACTCATACATAAGTGATTAGGAATACAATAGGGTTGATGATCTTGGCCTTATCTCCAGTGAAACATCCTTACACTTGATGGTATTTTCTGATTTCAATTTCTTGGCTGCAGTTTCCTTTGAATTGATGATTGACCAAGGTGTGCTATATTTTTCACAAATTCAGTTTTTCCATTGTTGACATTAGTAAGCAATTAGGGTTAAGTAATTCTTCTGTAGTCATGATTTTTATTTTCTTAATGTTCTGCTGCAATCCTGCTTTTCCACTTTCTTTTCCCCCATTCATTAGAAGTCCTTTCAATTCACTGCATTTTTTGCCAGTAGTATGGTGTGTCATCACTATATCCTAAAATATTGATGTCTCTTCCGCCAGTTTTCAATTCTTCCTCTGATTCTAATCCAGTCTTCCTTATCATATGTTCTGCATACAGGTTGAACTTAAAGGGAAATAAAATATGTCCTTGCCTGATGACTTTGCTTATAGGAAACTATTCTGTTTTTCCACATCCTGCCCTAACAGCAGCTTTGTGTCCCTTATACAGGTTATGCATCGGGACAATCAGGTGCTGAGGCACACCCATTTCTTTCAAGACCATCCATAGCTTTTTGTGTTCCACACAGTTAAAGGCTTTGCTGTAGTCTGTAGAGCATTGAATCATTTTCTTCTGAATTTTTTGGTGCAGTCTTGCAAGCCAACATATATTTGCAATCTGTAGTGCCTCTTCCTTTTGAAATCCAGCTTGAATGGCAGACATTTCTTGCTCCATATGGGGTAAAATTCATTGTTGCAGCACCTTGGGCATCACTTTGCCTCTCTGGGAAATCAGTGCAGTGATCCTATAGCAACTGCATTCCTTAGTATTTCCTTTCTTGAGGATTGTAATCTGCAACCATTGTTTCATTTTCCATATTTATTGATATACTCTTGTTAGGATTTGGATTAATTCAGGCTCTGCAGCCTGGAACAGTTCTATTGGTACTCTTTCTATTGGTACTCCATGTGCTTTATTCTTTCCAAGTGCTTTCAGAGCAACTTTCAGTACACTTCCTAACATTTTACAGCTTGTTCCACATAGGATTCCTCTTTGAAGGAATCTGCCTTTTTAAATCTCTTCTGCATAGTTCTTCTGTATATTATTTCCACCTTCTTTTTATTTTATCATGAGCAGAAAGCATGTTGCCCTATTGGTCTTTCAGTATTCTTAATCTTGGTTTTAATATCCATTGCTTTCTTAGGTATTCAGGAAGAGGTGTCCTTGTGTTGGTTTTCAGCTTATCTGTGAGTGTTGATATTAAGAGTTCATGGTCACAACCACATTCTGTTCCTGGTTTTGTTTTGGCAGCAAGAATACAGTTTCTTCAGCTTTTGCTGCCGATTACATATCTCTTTGATTTCTGTATTGGTCTTCTGGTGATGTCCATGTGTACATTTGTCTGATTGGTGCCTGAAGTATGTATGTGCGCTAAACAGATGGGTGCCTTCTCAGAATTCTGTTTGCCATTTTTCTGCTTTATTTCTGGTCCCTAGGCCGAATTTCCCTACATTTGATTCTGCTTTGTTTCCTACCTTTGCATTACAGTCATCTAAGAAAAAGGAACTGAATGCACACTTACAAGTTAGGAGATACTTGACTCAATAATACTATGTGAGAAGGATCTTGGATTTTTTGTAGGTCACAAGTTGAATATGAGTATAATGGACTGCATTAATAGAAATATAGCTTCCAAATCATGTGAGGTATGGCTTCCCCTCTCTTCAGCACTAGTTAGGCCTGATCTTGTGTATTATATCCTGTTGTGAGCACAAAGTGGAAAAAGTTCAAAGAAGGGCAACAGAGATGATCAGGGGACTGGGAAGAAAGCCCTATGAGGAAAGATTGAAAGGAACAGGCATGTTTAATCTTGAAAAGAGAAGACTGAAAGGAGATATGATAGCACTTTTCAAATAGTTGAAAAGCTCTCACGCAGAGGAGAGCCAGCATCTCTTCTTGGTCATCCCAGAGTCCAGCACACGGAATAATGGCCTTAGGTTGTAGGAAGCCAAATTCCAGCTTGACATCAGGAAGAACATCCTGAGTGTTGAAGCAGTATGGCACTGAAACTAATTACCTAGGGAAGTTATGGGCTCTTTCATCCTGGAGACATTCAGAAGGCATTTGGGCAGCTATCTCTGAGGGATGCTTTACTTTGAAATCCTGCCTTGAGGAGGGGGTTTAACTCAGTATCCTTATAGGCCTCTTCCAACTCTCCAACCCTCTCTCTGTGCTTCTTAGATGTAAAGGAGAAATAAACAAGTGAGTTTCAAAGTTTCCAGAACTTCGAAACTCACTGGTTTCATGTAGATCAGGGGTCTCAAACTCGTGGCCCACGGGCCAATTGCCGGGATGGGCGGGGCATGGGGGAGGGGCCCTGCGGCCTTCAAAGCGTTGGGGGCGCCCGGGCCGGCCACAGGATGAGGGGCCCACCACCACCACGATGGTGGAATACTTGATGCGGCCCAGCCTCACTCAGACTCTACTTCCAGTGGCCCCCAGGTAAGTTGAGTTTGAGACCCCTGATGTAGATGTTGAATAGAATGGGAACAAGACTAACATGGGGGACAAGACCTGAGGAACCCTGTATTGGAGAGTCCAAAAGGTGGAGCAGTGTCCTTCAATTGCCAGCTTCTGGAGCTGGCCATCCAAATAGAAATGGAACCACTGCAGTGTAGTTCCTCCTACTCCCAATTCGGTGGCCCCAGATGGATACCATGGTCGGTCATATCAAAAGCTACCAAGAGGTCCAAGAGTATCAACAGGGTTGTACTCCCTCTAAGATCATCATACAGGGTGACCAAAACTGTTTTCATGCCAAAACCAGGCCTGAACACTGCTTGAGATGGTTCCAGATAATTGGTCTTATCCAAGAGTGTCTGGAGCTGGTTGACCATCCCCTGCTCAGAAACCTCACCCAGGAATTGAATGTTTGCCACTGGCCTAAAATTATTGAGATCTTCTGGGTTCAGAGAATTCTACCAGGGATTTGACAGGGCTACCAACCAAATTAGCTGGAAAGCCCTCCAGAGCCCTCTGGAAACCATTTGGATCCATCAGCCTCTGAGAGAGGTCCATCTTAATGGGTCCCTCACTGCTGCAGAAGAGAAAAAAGCCTCTTTTAGCCTGCATCTCAGCATGCAGTAATCTGACCATGAGAAAGGGACCAGTTCAAAGACATCCACCTTCAAATCCCCATCCCCACTTATGACTGAAAAAAAAAAAAATTGAGTGTGCCCTTCTAACGTGTTGGGCTGATGACATGTTGTGACAGTCCCACAGTTGTCATGGAGTCCATGAAAAACTGAGCTGCACCAGTTAAGGCACCCTCAGCCTGGATGTTAACTTGATTAATACTTCTCATGTTCCATGTTCCTCAAGACTATGTGTTGTGCAGCATTGGACTGGTTTTTTTAGTTTTTTGTTTTGCCTCGGTGCATGTCAGTCACCAGTTTTCATTTTGGCTTTGATCTAGTTGCATCATTGGTCACAGCACAATTCATACTTGTTCTTTGCTCTTCCCTAGTAGCTGATTGAGTGCCTTCCCACCAGGGAGTCTCATCTTCTGGCCCTATCTCTTGTTTCATTTTGGATTGTTTCATCATAGGATTTACAAGGTATGAAATATTTGGAATTGGTTTACCATTGCCTGCTTTGCAGAACTAACCAGAGTTAACTTGAGCTTTACTGCTTTTGTGTGGGAAAAATCTGCCAGCGTTGCTTTGAACAACTGCTGCTGCCCAATAGCTGCCCTTCCAGAGTTTCTCTTCTCCCAGTATCATTCAGTATTCATTTTATTCTACTGATGTGCCTATTACACTTCAAGAAGGAGGATGTATCTTTGTTGTTACAGCTTTGACTATTTCCAACTTAGAAAACCCTGCTGGGAGACCACTTTAGTGAGAGAATTGGGCCTTCTAGTAGCAGTGTTCTTGTCTTCTCTAACACTCTCAAACCTCTTCACCACATTAAAGTGTACATCTTAAGTTTGAAGGTGTGTGTGTGTGGGGGGGGGGAGTCATATTATGACCTGTATTAGACTCTGGATGGCACCAGCAGGATTTTGGATTGCTGCCCGAGATGCTTTCCTTGCCTGAGATACTTTTCCTGGAGATAAGGACATTGAATCAGAAACTTTCTGAGAACAAAGCATGCATTTTTTCTGAGTTATAAAAGCCATATAGTATTGAGATAAATTTTAATATTACAGACTTGCTGTTTGCTGATATTACTAGTGTAGCATGCATGTAGTGGTGAAAATGTAGACATTGGTATGAGCAAATAGTAATTTAATATACTTTCTCTTCACAATTTGGAGAGAGAAAGAGATGGACCATCAGTCCAGGTTGAGTACAGAAGAGTCAAAATATTTGGATACACAGGGGTGTGTTTGTTTATGGAGTGCATTGAGGGGGAGGTCTTAAGAATATGGTCCAAGGGAATAGATTCCTTGCTAATGTTTAGCAATTTCTGTTCAACTGTTTTCATAATTTTTAGAGGCCGGCACCACATGGGTGTGTGTTTCTTTTTAAGAGAACTAGTAAACTTTGGATAGATTTTCAAGACGGGCTACAAAAATGTTGAATTAATTTTAAACTTGTCTCCAGTATGTATGTTATACTGTATCCAGTACATGTTATTGGAACTGGTTGTGTGGCATATATGTGTAGTCAAATGTTTTTCTTTTCTTTTAATAGGCTGAAGTTGCAGCCTCTGACATGGCCGCAGCCTCTCCAAGATCTGGAAACAGTAATAACTACAATGGGCGACTACAAATGCAAGTAACTAGTAAGTAAAAATCTGCATGTTATGTAACTAATTATTTGTCCTACCACTGACATCTGAAAACAAAAGTTCTTTTCTACTCTAGTCATAAACCTGTGATGAGTAGAAATTGCTTGAACTTGAACTGTGTTGGTACAGTCCTTATCCCTTGCTATGCATTTCCTGTATCATTCTTACCAAGGTAGTGATCTGGAAATGGAGGGATTAACATCAACTCCCTTTTCATGGTCAGATCACCATGGGGACCTTTAAAATGTTTTGCCCCAAAGGCTAATGGATCCTGATGGTTTCCAGAGGGATCTGGGAGAGTTTCCAGATGGTATAGCTGTTGCTCCTGACAAAGCCCAGGTTGTTCTGTGGAATGCAGAGATGTCTTGGGCGGTTGACAATTGCACCCAAGCACCTGGCCAGCTCCTTGGTACACACTTGAGTTGAGGGCACCAAAGCAAGAAGGGAGATGACTAGAGTGCAGATGGAGAAAATGATGGCTGAGCTCATTATTGAGCCTACTCTGGCAGTGTGGCAGGTCTTTCCCATCAGCATTGCATCTTCTGGGTGTTATTCAGCAGAGCTTTTCTGAGTGGTTTGTGGCCTACTGTACTCTGGGCCAGAGAAAGAAATGGTAGAGCCCTTAGTAGCTTGCAGTGATGAATTTGCACAGCAGTTTGAAGTTAAAGTTGCTTGAATTTGTCATGGACACCTTAATTAATGCAGTTCCACCAACAGAGGCATCCTGAGCACCATCTTGTCCAGTTTTATTTTTATTGAGGCCTGAAGATGTGGTCAAGGTGCTTGGTCAAGTCTGCCCCACCACCTGTGTGCTCAACCTTTGCCCATCATGGCTTATTAAAATAACTAAGGAAGGCATTTGTATTTGGATCTAGGAAATGCCTCCTTGAGCCACAGAGTGGTGCCAGCCTCTTTAAAAGGGACTGTAATGAAGACAGTCCTGAAAAGGCCTAACCTAGATGAAGAGGATGTTAGCTGTAGGCCAGTCTCCTTCCTGGGCACAATGCTTGAGTGGGTGGTTGCTCAACAGCTCCAAGCATTCTTGAATGAAATGGGTTATCTGGATCCATTTCAGTCAGGCTTCAGGCCTGGTTGTGGTATGGAAACTGCCTTGGTTGCCCTGTGGAATGACCTTCGCTGGGAGAAAGTCAGGGCAATACTGAATGGCAATACAGTAGAGAGGGCATGCCAAAAAATAGTGGGGAGAATTCTACTTATAGGAAATATACTTCATATTGGGTTAATACCACATTTCTGTCTAGCACCATTGTGTGTATTTAATCACAAGGTAGTAGTAATACTATCCTTATATATTTATTGGCCAGCCATTCCATGTGAAGCCATTGAAGAGACTCTCTGAGTTCTATCATCTAAAGCAGGGGTCCTTAAACTTTTTGAACATGGGACCAGTTGACAGGTGCCAGCAGTGGCTGCAGGCCGCCAAGGTGATGCCAGTGGGGAGGCGCAGGCCGGTATGGGGACGGGGCGTGCATGCATGCGTGCACACTCAAGGCGAGGCATGGAGATGGGGTGTGCGCGGGGTGAGGCACCGGCTTGCTCATGAGATCATTTTCTCCGATCGAGTCCAAAACGATCTCCCCGTGAGCAAGCCGCTGCCGGGTGAGGCACTGACTTGTTCACAAGGAGATAGTTTTCTCCAAGTGGTTGCAAAATGACCTCATGAGCAAGGCACGCGCATGCCCAGCAAGTGCTAAAACCTGTGGGGTGAGCTGGTTAAAAGGGCATGGCGGACTGGATCCGTCCTGCGGGCCTTAGTTTGAGGACCCATGATCTAATGTGCCATTCTTGAGTAAGAATACAGTCACAATTACTTCAGGTAGTCTTGGAGGTTATGTTGGTGGGAAAATCTGTTGATTTACATGGAGGGTTACAATTGTTGGTGGAAGAGATTGGATTCTTCCTGAAGGATTGGGAACCCACCTGGAGTTGGCACTATAACTGGGGAGAGGAGGGTGTCGGTGACCAAGAGTGCCTTTTATCAGCTTTGGCTGATTAGTCATCTATTCATGCCCAAGTTGTACTCTGTATTGCAGTGCTTCAGTTGTAACTTTGGAAATGCAGGTGCTTATTGTGATAGTTTGTGCAGCCACACATCTAAGGAAAGTATTCAGTAGCAGTGTTGATCCATATCAACAAACCATATTTATTATTACTACATTTATAGCCCATCTTATTTCTTCTATGAACAACCCAAGGTGGCTTCCACAGTATTTTTCCTCTTTCCTTTATCCTGACAACAAACCTGTGATGTAGGTTAGGCTGAGGACCAGTGAAAGTCACCCAGTGAGCTTCACAGCTAAGTGGGAACTCCAACCTGGATCTCCTGAGTTCTAGTCCAATATTCTAGCCACTCCACCACATAAGCTCTTTTATATTAATATATTGGCTTTAAAGACATTGCCATTCACATTTACTTTTACCTGACTAATCTGAAATTGATCCCTGCTTTTAAATGTTTTCATTTTTTCTGCTTTTTACTATTTTTATTGGTTGCATATTTATGAATATTTTATTAATTGTGTATCTGTTATTATTTTTTCTGTTGGGGAGGGCTGTGTAGAATTTACTATTGCAAAAGTAGCATGTAAATAACGTAACTACTATTTTCTAAGGGATTCAGAAATGTGTGGCTTACTTGGGCATTGTATTAACTATCCATTAACTGGAAGTTCTTGAAATTATGTATTTTTGTAAGTTCTGTATTAATTTTGTAAGGTTCTGAGAGCTATTGCTGAAACATAACAAATACATAATAAAATACATTTATATGGCGTTGTAAATTATTTGGAGTATTTCACATCTATTTTCTCAAGTAAACAGAAATGCTATGTTCATCTTAAATCCAATAAGTATTCTTCAAAGCCCAGAGAACATTTCTAAATTCTGAACTAGGGAGACAATTAAGATTTTGCAATATATTACCTAGTAATGTTAGCCTCCCTTTACCTCTCCGACTTTCTGAGAACCAGTTTTTCAGCTTTTGGAAAGCTCTAGTTGGCACAGGACTAAATACCTTTTACAGCCATGATCTTTTTTCTGCTAGGTAATTTCATGCCATTGATATTTACAAAAGATAAAACATAGGTATATGTGGACAGACCACCTAGTAACGCTTTTCATTGGCTTAAAGATGTTCAGTGCTTCTTCAAGCTACTATGCCCTCTCCCTTCACCCCAAAGCTACTTACTGTTCTTTGACTGGGGATCAGTGAGGAATCCTATGCATTGTCTTTACTTGGCTCTACAGATTCTATTCATTAAACTTCTACTGGCAGGAACTCAATCTGATGCAAGTCAAGCCAGCACATGAACTTCCTTTTTTTTTTTTTTTAAGGGGCCATGAGTTGCATGTTTTTTTAAGCCTGATAAAGTCATGAAAAATTAAGATCGTCACTCCACAATTGGTAGAAATTTGAGCAAATTATACAAATCTGTGTAGCTGGGGAGTAGAGGCCTGGATTTTGCACAGATCTAAAATTAACTGTCAGGAAATTCAAGCTGGAGTGCATGAATGTGGAATGAGTGGAAAAAACTTCCACATGTCTTATGCTAAATACTACAATAAGAACAGCCACAATAGTAGTGATATATCTAAATGTGCTATGTATATATGCTGCTCTAAACTTCATTTTTTTTGTTGGAATTCCAAGCAGTTTAGGGCAACTGAACCCCCTGCTCCCCACTTGGCATGCTTTTGGTTGTCAAGTTGAAAATGTACCAAAAGTCAATTGATGTCAAATTGAAAAATTTTCCAGTGTAACAATTCTCTATCTATAACCCAGAAATTTGGAGAGTATGTCACTGTGGAGTATTTCACTGTAGGTCATGTATACACAGACTTACGGTGTGCATGTGGCTTTCAACTTTTAAACGATGTAAGACTGCTGGAATACTGTGATACATTGGCTCACGAACTTAATCCGTTCCAGAACTCTGGTCATGACCTAAATTGGTCATGAGCCAAGTTAAATTTCCCCATAATGTTCAATGTAAATAAGGTTAATCCGTTCTGTAACAGTTTTTTTAATCAGAAAAATGTAAAGCAAAGTGACAAAGAAAAACAAAGATTGTGGCCATTCCCCCCCCCCCCCCAGCACACCAGGATGATGGACATGATCGCAGGTGCGCTCAGGGAGGAGCCAGGCACGAATGTGGGCGCGCTGAGGGGGGAGAGACGGGCGCAATCGTGCTGGTGGGGGGAGATGACCGAGATTGCGGTTGCATTCCTGCAGGAAGGACAGGCGCAATCACGGGTGCGCTTGTGCAGGAAAGAAGGGTGTGCTCGGCCATATCCCCCCCGCCCCCCAGCACGATTACAGCCATTTCCTCACTTGGGGGTGGATGGGGAGATGGCCATGATCGGGGTTACCACCCAATGTGGAGTTCACGGCCTGAGCCAAATTTTTTATGACATTTTTGTTCACAACCTGATTTGGTCGTGAACTGAGGTGTTCGTGAGCCGAGGTACCACTATACAAGCTTCCCAAGATGAAAAACCTATGGGGTCTGTAAAGCTATTGACTTCCTTTACTGGATTAGAGCCACAGTATATTTTGATGCTGATTCTAGACTGTTACTTCACAAAAATAAACCAAGTGTCTTTTTTCTGCATGACTCTTAACTACATCAATCAAGATTGAAGGAGAAAAAGGAGTTGAAGCAGATATTAGAACAACAGTGTTTGGCCAGTTCTTAATAACAGAATCTTCTTCACATTTTCTGGTGTTGAAAACTGCCAAATTGTGGAATCCACTTTTGTTTGTTGCTAGTTTTCCAAATTTATCTTTTCTGTCAACTGAACAAGATAGAGGATATCCTGTATTCCTTGTTTGTTCATATGTTGGTTTCTTTCCATTGTTGATGCCAATTATGAATTGTAGTTTGGTTCCAAGAGAGATCTTTGCATATGTAACTTCGTTTGATATCTTTTTTAAAGACTGTATCTTTTAGGTCTAAAATAGTTACTTGCTGGCT